CATCGTCCACACCCTTGGTTCTCCCCTCAATTTTTTCCACTCACATTACCTTCTACATGCATCTCCACACTAACTCTACACCAATAATTAAGTATTTGTGTGTGTTGGATTTAATGTTTTATTGTTGTCATTGCAGAGTATAAATACTAATTCTTCATCATTTACAAAATTAATACGTACTATACTTTTTTTAGCATATTTCCAAACGCAATTGCCAGTCTTAATCATATCACATCAAATACTACATATTTAAAGTTTTAATTTTTATATCATAATTAACTGCAACATTTTTTTAAAAACACATAAATATTACAAATATTGTTCAAAATAGCCTCCTTCTGCTAGAATACATGCTTCACAACGACGAATTAAAGAATTCTTCAGCCAAATTAAAATGTCTGGTTGATTTCTTATTTCAATAACAGCCATTTGTATTATGTTTAATAACTGTTCTCGTGTGTTAATCCACTTAATACACAATTTGTTTCATTTGACCCCATAAGTAGAAATCCAATGGATTAAGGTCAGGGGATCTAGGTGGCCAAGCAAATGGACCATTATTATCAATCCACTTGTTTGGAAAATATTGGTTTAACCACTCGACAACTACACTTCCGCGATGAGGCTGCACAGTGTTAGGAAGTTATGAATATCTGGCTAAAAATCTAATTACAACTAAATGAAGTTGAAAATGTTCAATATCATTATAATATCTCCTTAATGGTTAGCTAGGATTTATTTCATCTATAAACCTTGATTAAAGCAAAATTTAGGATTTTGAAACGAATATTTGAAAATAAAAGTGAAACATAGGTTTTGTTGTGGGTTGGGCTGGATGTTTAAGCTAATGTAACTCCGAAAACATGGTACATCATGTAGCCTAACAATAAGTATATATAGTTATACAGGTGCCCATTATGTATGGAATATAGTATATATCTTGGTAGGTATCAACTTTATAAAAAACATTTTATAGAAAAGTTGTTTAATATTTTATTTGCCATAATAAGACAGCATTCAATTGTTTTTATTTCAGAAAACAAATGAGCAACGAATAACACTTGAAGTTTTTTAAATGGTAGCCTTTTGTTAGGCTCATTTGATAGAGATTTTTTTTCTCTTTGCGATGACTTAAAATTTTAGTACCCTTATATCAGAAAATGTTTGAAAAAAATGTAAAAATTGTTTGTTAAGAAAATTTAACTAATAACATTAATCTAGATATCCGAGATCGTGAAGTACCTCGAATTGTTGGAGATGTACACTAATTTTTCGTTTATTTGTTTTATTTTGTATGTAAATTTAATTTACTGTAATAATTCGAGGTACTTGACGATCTCGGATATCTAGATTAATGTTATTGATTAATTTTTATTAATAAACAATTTTTCCATTTTTCTCAAAAATTTTCTGATGTAAGGATACAAAAATTTTACGCCATCGTAAACAGAAAAGTAATCTCTATCAAATGAGCCTAAAGAAAGAATACATTGTCATTTAAAAATATTTAAGTATTATTCATTGTTCTACAATGTCAATATTAGTTGCAATTGACGATAACAAATCATTTCTTTCTTCATCATTTTCAAAGCAGAGAAGGCTTATAAGTTCTTCAGAAAAATCTGTATTATTCCTTGATTTTTTGCTATGAAATGATGTTATAATTGGGTCTGAAGATATTAATAGTCTGTTTAAAATGTTTCTATTATTGTGTATTCTTTACATTTTTCTGGAAAAGTTCTCTCTATACCTTCTAAGGTCTTTATTCCGAGTTTCTTGCGCTTCTTCTGAAAGCAGGCCAATCTGGATACTTAATGATTTTATTATTAAGTGACCATGCACAAGAATTTTATGCACTGCCACAAGCAGATAATACCAATTATATAATTGATTGTATAATAGATATTATACATATATAGATAGATATTATAGATAGGTATTCATTTCTTGATAATAATTTTTGTGAAATACGCATCTGGTTTGGCATTTTAAAGCGTCATTAATTTTCTTTTTTATTGCTGTGTGTTGGTTAGGTATTTTTTAACTAAAAAAATACTTCTGACTTGTTTGGGAAGAAGGTTACAACATGATTTCCGAATCGTGACTCTTTTTTTAAAGACGCACGGTTAACCCTACCCTTTGATTAGTGAGTTTCATTTTACAACGGTACGTATGAACGTAACTGAGAAGTGCAGTCGGCCGTGAACGTACCGGTACGTTCATACTAACTAATCAATGGGTTAAGCCCGAAAGCTTCTAGTTTTAGATCTAATAATACAGGTAGTACTGATATTAATTCATAAAAAATAGTTATTCTGAAAAATTGTAAATGATTAATAGTTTCAAAACTAACTTTCAGTATTCACTGTCGAATCTCCGTAGACATCATCTTGTATATTAGGAATTTTATTGCAAATGCGCAAATATGCGCAATTTATTTTTTTGAGAACGGAAAGTGTAGGCTTGAAACTACATAAAAAAACAAATTTCAACCTGGGATCTTGTGGGACTTGTTTTGTAGCTTAAATTAAAGTTTAACATTGCAAATAAAATCTGTTTATGAAAGTGTTGAGAAAAATATAAATAAATACAGTGTTCAAGAAGCTATTACAGTGTTACATAAACAACACATACAGTATAAAATAATAATAAAATTTCATAAGGGTACAACTTTTAATATGTTTACAATCGTATCTCAATATTAATCAAATATTTTGGAAATTAATATGCAAAATAAGTCTTAACTTTACATGTCATTTTTATCCATAGTTGAAGTTAATAAAAAGTAGTTATTGCGGAGTAGCCTAGCGATATAACCTAACGATCCCCGTTTGCCAAAATATTAGAAAAGAAAATTAGTAAAATCATGTTATGGCCGGTAATTTCAAACTTCCTAACACAGTGGGTTGGTGGCATCGTGCTGGTACCACATATTTTGAATTACATTAAGAGGTATATCTTCAAGTAAATCAAAAAGTGTATTGTTCAAAATCTGTAATTTACAACGTTCAAACATAATACATGATTCATCTTTCCAGAGAACATTTGAAATGAAGTCATTATTTTGGGCATGTTGCTACAATAACCATTCACAAAATGCTAACCGTTGCTGATTATCTCCTGGCTGTAGAGCTTGATCACACTGTTTAGGATAGGGATGAAGGACTTTGCGGTTCAATACGCGCCATGCAAAATTTTGACTTACATGTATGTTGTGTGCTATTCTTCGAGTGCTGATGAAAGGATTATCAATGACAGCATTAATTACAGCTTCTTCGTCCTCTATAGCTTTTGCTGGAGCAGGATTACCTGTTTCTCGAAGTCTTCTGAAAGAATCGCTAAAAACTGAATAATATGGCAAATGACGCTGTGGAAATCTTTCTTGATATTCTTGTACTGATTGTCGAACATTTCCATTGCAAAAACCATACACAGTGCTATAAACGTACATTTTGAGTTTCTTCTTGTATGTAATAATTAAACCTTACAGCAAACTGTCAATTGTTAATGTCATTGTTAATTGAAATAGGAACACATATGTTTATTAAAATTTTTTATCATATGTCAAAGTTTGATGGTGAGCTAATAAATCATCCTGTATAGCGTTGAACAAGATTCAAATTACGATAACAAATTGTTAGTAATATTTTATTCAACATTGAAAGTAGTAACTCTAATAAAAACATATAAATCAACTTTATTATTTTGTTCTTATAAGGTTTTAAAATAACTTTAAAGTAAAGTTATTTTATATGAAATTGATGTGATTCATATTTGGTTAAACATTCATACCTAAAACTTCTAAATAAAATCATTTCCAATAATAAATTACATACTTATTAACATTTATCATTAAAAAAATTTTGTTATGTCGTAAAATATAATTTTATTACTCGAAATAATGATTTAATTATGTCTGGTTCGAAAGAAACTCATTTTGCTCGGTTTTATTAATTCGTATGCAGTGCGGTCGACCACACGGTGTCTCCTAGACACCTCCAAGGCCTCCACATAGAAGTGCATTCATTGCAAGCACCATGTGTGTTTATAATATGTATAAGTATCCTGTCGTTTTTGCATGAATATTAATCGATTTTCACGGCCTAATCGCGCTGAGTTTCAATGTATCACGCGGTTACAAAATCGAAAAACTGATTAATATTAATACTGTTCTTGAAGTTTTTTTTCTTTTAAATTTATTTATGTTGCGGAAAAATTTTACAAAATTGATTAAATGAAACGGAAGCTGCGTATCTGTGAAGCAAAAAAGAAAGCCGACACAGACACACGCATTTACACATTTAGTACACACACAGGGTCGGCTCCGATCCCTCTTATTGAGCACTTCCTTTACACTATATATTTGTGTAATGTTGTGAGGCGGGTCTCTCTATAATTAGAGACGACCGGAAGCGTTCATAGCAGCACCGTTTTCTTGTTAGGAAGACGTTTCCTGTCCATAAATTCTTCATTATAAATTCACGGTTCGTCTTTGAAATTGTATTTTCATCCTTATTTTAATTCTTTCTGTTCTTGTTTATTAAAGAGATTTTTTTTAGTATTTATTTGCTTTTTTAGTAAATTCTTTAGATTTTTTTGTGTTATTTTTTTCTGTAACGTTTTTTTTGATTCATCCTTGTTTTACTTTTAATTTTTTTTTTTCGTTTACTTTTCTGGTCATTTTTTCGTTTTTTTTTTTTTTGGTTGTTGTTTCTTCTTCACTGAGTGTGTCACGCTCGGTGAATTTATGAGAGCCCCTTTAAAGATAGATGGATGCAGACCACGCTGTCGCTGTCCCTAATTAACACTCGATCGGAGTCCGGTTCTAGGAATACCGGACACCTACCGACTTCCGGTGGAAAACCTGCTTGTTCTCTCTTCTCTTAACTTCGCTCAACCCACGTGTATTACTTCATTTTTTAAAATAATCACGATCCTTTTAAAGACATGAAAGCTTTCTTTAAAAGAGTTTTTAATGTTTAATTTTATTTTTATTACAGTATTCCGGTATTCGTATTGGTCCAGTTGTTAAAAAAGATGTAATGAAAGCATCGATTATGTTAGAACACGAAAGCCAGTGAGTAAAAAAATTATTTTTGTGAAAGAAAAAATTATAATAAATTTTTGTTTTTAGATACGCAACAATTTTAGCATTCGATGTTAAAATAGAAAGAGATGCTCAAGAATTAGCGGATAATTTAGGGGTTAAAATCTTCCAAGCGGATATAATTTATCATCTTTTCGATAAATTCATCGCGTATAGAGATGAATTGAAGCAAAAGAAACGGGAAGAATTCAAGAACATCGCCGTTTTTCCTTGCAAATTGCGGGTACTTCCTCAATTCATCTTCAATTCCAGAGATCCTATTGTTATGGGCGTTATGGTTGAAGCTGGAATTGTTAAAGAGGGGACTCCAATTTGCGTTCCAAGCAAAGAAGTATGATTTTTCTTCATTTCTTTAACGACAAAAACCAATTGCGTTATTTTTTTTTTTCAGTTTGTCGATCTTGGTATTGTAACAAGTATCGAAAATAATCACAAAGCCGTCGAATCAGCACGAAAAGGTATGGAAGTATGTATTAAAATTGAACCAATTCCAGGCGAATCCCCGAAAATGTTTGGAAGACATTTCGATGATAAAGACTTTTTAATTAGCAAGGTAAGAAATGTTTTAAGTATATTTATTTAAAAAGTTGTGTATTGAACATATTAAAAAATATGTTTTTAATAATGTATGTACTTTGACAAATCTGCATCAATCAAGCAACTGTTTGGGTAACATGTAACCATTCCAAATTCAACAAATTTACTAGTTTACTAGAGTACTAGAATATGTATTGGTGTTGTACAATTTGATAAGCTTTACTGGTTAGAGCTAAAAAGATTTAGAAAATTGAAAGAGAAACCATTGTATTTGATGATAAAACATACACCGGGTGCAAAATATTTAAAACCAATATCTAAAAATATCTTAAAATCCCAAACAATCGATTTAGAGAACTGTTTAAAATTGCTAATGATCAACGAAAATCGTTTAAAATCCAAAAAAATATTTTTTTTGCTATTAACAGCTCTTTTGGGACTAATCTTTCTGTCCAAAAACTTATATAATTCAACAAATTTCAATATTTCAACAGGCAAGTATAGTTTTTTTAATAAGATAAAATATTCATACATAATATTAATATATTCAAAAGTTTGCATTATTATTTTTATCCTCCATTCTCGGAAAACAATTTAATAACAATGATTTAATCAGGTAAGAAGTTTCATTTTAAAATATAATGTCTTTTCCGACAATCAATTTTTATCTCAATCAATAATTTGTAACGGCCCATTGAAAAGATATTTTTTAATTAACGAGATAAAGTTTCGGAAATTTCATTCAAGAATTATTACGTTGTGCGACATAAATTATCACAAGATTACTATCTCTTTGCCCTGTCCTTGTGATCTGATCGGTTTTTTGCGCACTTTATTTTTATTACGTATTTGGCATTACGTAAAAGCGAATTTTAAACAATTTGAGCAAAACATAAAAATTTCGAATTAGTTAGAATAAACTATTACGAAAAACTTCTTCTTTTAATTAATTCAACAATTTAGCTAGTGTAAATTAGTGATGGAACAGATAGAGATTTTGTGAAACGCCGAATTCCGAATATTCGGCATCCCTTTCGGCCGGATATCCGGTTATCTATCCAGCCATTATGGTTATAACTTCTGGTGCATTTCTGAAGATAATTTTTGCGATATTTGAAAAAAAATGAAATTAATAAGAAAGCTGATAAGATAAGTCAACTTATTTGGATTCAAGATACAAAATGATCTTTTTTGATGCTGATTTAAGTAACGAAGCAACTCTAAAAAGAGGATACTTTAATTAATGATTGGTGATATTTCCACAAGGATCCGTCAAGAAACGAATTTTATAGCGAATTTTGAAAATTATCGATGAAAATTGCAACGTCGAAAATTTTGTCAAAACTTCAAATATTGTTTTCTCAAAAACTAAAAGCTATTTTTCGAAACGTGTTGGTTCATTGGGAAGAAGACACTTTTATTCACACTTTTGGAAATTCTCATACTCATATTCCAAAAACTGGATTTTTTACGAATGTTTAAAACGTAATCGGCGAAAATTGCAAAATTCGAGAAAATTGTCGATTATTTCAAAAATTTATTTCTCAAGAACTAAAAGCGATTTTTCAAAACGGCTTGTTACATTAAAAAGAGGACACTTTAATTAATGATTGGTGATATTTCCACAAGGATCGTTCAAGAAATGAATTTTATAGCGAATTTTGAAAATTATCGATGAAAATTGCAACGTCGAAAATTTTATCAAAACTTCAAATATTGTTTTCTCAAAAACTAAAAGTTATTTTTCAAAACGTGTTGGTTCATTGGAAAGAGGACACTCTTATTAACACTTTGGGAAATTTTCATACTCATATTCCAAGAAATGGATTTTATACGAATTTTTAAAACTTAATCGGCGAAAATTGCAAAAAGTTGTCGATCATTTCAAAAATTTGTTTCTCAAAAACTAAATGCGATTTTTCAAAACGGCTTGTTGCATTAAAGAGAGCATACTTGAATTAATGATTGGTGATGTTTCCACAAGGATCGTTCAAGAAATGAATTTTATAGCGAATTTTGAAAATTATCGATGAAAATTGCAACGTCGAAAATGTTGCCAAAACTTCAAATATTGTTTTCTCAAAAACTAAAAGCTATTTTTCGAAACGTGTTGATTCATTGGAAAGAAGACACTATTATTAACACTTTTGGAAATTTTCATACTCATATTCCAAAAACTGGATTTTTTACAAATTTTAAAAACTTAATCGGCGCAAATTGCAAAATTCGAAAATTTTTTCGATTATTTCAAAAATGTATTTCTCAAGAACTAAAAGTGATTTTTCAAAACGGTTTTTTTGCATTAAAGACTTTAATGCAAAAAGACTTTAATTAATAATTGAAAGTGACAATAGCGACAGTTCTGTTAGTAATGAATGTGATGATAAACAAAATTATAAGCGAAGAGAAGAAAACTAGACGAAACTGCAACCAGAGATTTTATACAGGGTGTTTCCGTGACTCGGGGAACAAATTTAACCACATATGCTAGAGTGAAAATAATGATTCATGTAAAAAAAATTAGTAAAAGTCTTCAAATTTCAAAGATACAGGTCATCAAAGTTAGGAAATGTTAACACATTTTTCCAAATATCTTAACACTATTTACAGCAAAGCGCTGAAATTTGGTACAGTATAAATCAATGTGATGTAAAATCGTTAGGCAATTTATGAGTTAGATCGGTCAGCGGGAACAATGCTATACAGGTGTTCCTAAAGTTTGTTTGTTCAGAACTTTTTTATTCTATAAATATTCTGATAGTAAACTTAATTTGGAAACTTTTATTAGGTACTCTTAGATAATATTGATAAAAATCACCGTTTTCGTGTTAAATGCAAAAATGTTGGGTTCCGATTTCAATAATAGCACTAAAAAAAAGAAATCTAAGCTTTTGAACATTTCCTTTAGTATTTTTTTACTACTTTTATGTACTGTTTTTATTATTCCTGTTAGTGTTGTTGTTTTTTGTTTATTTTTTGTTGATTTTTAATTTATTGTTTTTGGATTCTTTTATTAAACCAACTAAAACAAATTAAAAATGTGATTTAGCTAAATCTACACTTGGACATTTTGCATACATAATTGTAATGACAGCTCAGTTCGATTTTCACTTGTCATTGCCAATTCAGATAATTTATTTATTTATTTTTTTAGTGTTGTTTAATTCGGAGCCTAACATTTTTGCATTTAATACGAAAACGGTTGATTTTATCAATATTCTCTAAGAGTGATAAAAGTTTCTAAACTAAATTTACTATTAGAAACTGCAAAAATAAATGTAGGGTTATGATCAAAGCTCGGATATTTCGGTACCGTCTCAGTAGCGTCGACAGCGCAGAACCTATGGGGCGCGATCATAAATGCACTCCCACCACGCGATCTACCGTTCCGATCGCTCACACATCTATAAGCATGCCAGGCCTGCATTTATCTGTGTTCCGTTCAGAGAATTCAGTACCAATTCATTTAATATCCTTTTTATTTATTGTTAAATCCATCATTTTCTGAATTAGAATTGTACTATTGTTTCAGTTTTTATAATTTCAAACGGAGTGTGTTGAATATTTTATTTAATTATCATCGAATATTTTCTTGATTTGTTTTAATTAGAAGTGCATTGTTGTTTTAGGTTTTATAATTTAAAACTACTTCTATTAAGAGTTAATATTTTGATATTTATTAACTGAATTACCCTATTGTTTTAGTTTTTATTATTTATTCCAATGGCACACTTAATAGCGATTTTTGGCGATACGTTCACATTAATTGACAACAATGTAGCATTTTGCAACCAAGAAATATCTTCTAAATATGGCCTGTTAGTTCTAGCAGTTACATTTGTGCCAGTTACCAGTTGTGACGTCGAAAGAACATTTTCTAGATTCAAAGACATTTTAACACCCAGACGGTCGTCATTTTCTGAAGTAAATTTAGAAAAAGTCATTATTATTCAATCATTTCACCAAATAGGAACTGAGAGTCGAGAGAAATTATAATAAAGTACATAATTACTTCCTTATTTAGCGTTAATACAGACCCTTGCTANGAAAAAATTGTCGATCATTTCAAAAATTTATATCTCAAGTACTGAAAGTGATTTTTCAAAACAGCTTTTTGCATTAAGAAGAGGATTTAATTAATAATCGAAAGTGATAACAGCGACAGTTCTGTTAGTAATGAATGTGTCGATGAATTACAAGCGAAGAGAAGGAAACTAGACGAAATTGCAACAAGAGATTTTATATATCGTATTGGGATTGTTACAATGAGGTTGCTAATGACAAACCTGATATAAATAAAGTTGTATTCAATGAAAAAAGTCCTATTGGGGTTGAACTTGATTATTATCCGCAGTGTCCAACATCTAAAAGAGATACTAATTCATGTGAATGGTGGAGTACTAAGTAATACGTTTTTAATATACGGCCAAAGCCGGATGTTTGGTAACTATCCGGTATCCAGCCGGATTTTAAAAAATGGCCGGATACCGGATAGTTGCCGGATATCCGTTCCACCACTAGTGTAAATGTAATTAAATTTTTGACTATGTCAAGCCTTGTGCAGTTCGAATAAGATCTATAACACTTGAAATATCTCCAAAGGTATTCCTTTTGGCTAAAACGTTTGGTTTTATTTCAACATTTCTTTACTTTATAGATTGACCACTCTGCACTATGTACAGTATGTCCACGGAAAAGGTGTTGAATAGAAAAAACTTCTTTATTTTTAATTTTATCGAAAAAAGTTAATCTTGATAAAAAAGTTTGCTAGTTTTTAGAGTAAGATTGGGATAGAAATATTTAACATATTTTATACGCGGTGTTCAGAAAATTGAAAAAACTCATAAATAATATATATAATATATAAATAAAAGTGGACCGATTTTTTCGAAAATTGGTATTAGAGACTACCTTTTACTTTAGAACAACTTTTCCTAGTAACTTATTTCCTTATCTTCTCAAATAAATTCACTTTACTCTTGTACCATTTAAAGTTTTTTCAATTTTCTGAACACC